AGAATATACTCTATAATATTCGTGATTTTATTACCGTAGCCTCGGACCGGTATAAGAGATATTTATTTTTAGATTTGTTTCTCGAAGTTAGATAAGAAAGCTAGTAAAGCTCGATCTTCGAGAGTAATCGAGTATTCGAAATTTAGATAAACTTTTATATCGAAAGAATTTGAATTTAGATGAGTATTTGCCTTAATATACTAAAAACTATGAAAAGCGATTTCTTACTCGTATTTAGGCGGTGCTACGATAGTAGACTTAATGATTTTAAGTATAGAATTCGTCTCGATAGCATAGATATCTACTTCGATAGCATATTTGAAATTCTTAAAATTCTCGGGATTCTCGTAATTCTAGTATTACTATCTAAGGTAATAGAATAGCTTATTTCTAGATTTAAACTTCTTATAATATCGTTAATAAGAGTGTTCTAATAGCGATAAGTCGATGAAATTAATCTTCGATTTCGTGCTTCTATAAGATTCGTAGAAGTTAAAGTAATCGTTTTCTTATTTCTTAATATTCTTCTTACTATAGTCGTTATGAAAGCTATTAAAATCCTTCGAGTAACTTAAATTCTATTAAAAATCCTCGAATTTCTTTATTTTATTAATTAAGGTTTAATAAGCTCGCTACTCTTATAGTTAAAAAGATTAAATAATAGTATTCTAATAAGCTTCTTTAGGTTAATATAGGATACGACTAGACTAAAAAGACTAGCGAGAATTATATGTGTTTTACTATTAATACTAATTTAAATTAGTAGTAATCTAATACTATATTAATAAAGCTAATAGTATTTACTATATATCTTTTTAAGAGTAGCTTTAATAAGTAGAATCGTTACTTTAATAAGCTAGTTAATAATTTTAAGATTAATTATAAATTTAATAATTCTACTAATTAAGAAAAGCTAAAGATTACTATTATAATTAATTAAAATTCTAAAAACTAGAGTTTATAGATCGGTTAGATATATCTTTTACTTAATTATATTAATTAAGATTATTTCTATAAGATAGATTTAATATATAAGAAGTATTACTTAAACTAAACTTCGTTATTCTTAAAGCCTTTATTTATTATTAATTCTTTTTTATATCTATAGTTATAAAAAATTAATTTAGCGTAATTTAAATAGTAAGTAGATCTATATTAGATTAAAATTTGATATTAAGATTATTTTAAATAATATTAAGCTAATTATACTTATTATCGAGTTTTATTATTTTAGTAACTCTAATAATAGTTATAGTATACTTACGTAACTTATAATATCTTATAATATTATTAAGTATATATTATTTCTTAATAATAGTAGCTATTTTCGATACTTTAATAGATTTAAATCTCTTAAATAAAGTAGTACTCTATTTTTTAATATTATTATTATAAGTTAGTAGACGCTTTTTATTATTAATAAGCTAATATATATATTACTTAAGTGCTTCGCTTTAAAGATAGATCTATAGATTATTTCGTAGTAGCTCTATATTCTTAACTCTCGTAATATTCTTAATTCTATCGATAAAGATAATAATATGTCGGAAATAGGTTTCTTTCCCGACATACTCTATGCCTGCTGTCGTATTAGAAGATTTGCTATCGTAGAAAGAATCGAAGAATCCGCTTCGATAGATCTGCAGGTTATTCCGTAGTAGCTCTACATTCTTAACTCTTATAATATTTTTAATTCTATCGATAAAGATAGTAATATCTCGAAAATAGGTTTCTTTCTCGATATATTCTATATCTACTATTATATTAGAAGATTTATTATTATAAAAAGAATCGAAGAATTCGATATCGCTGTTAAGAAAGCGGGGTTTATTATTTTCGTTAATAATATTCTAACTTAATATTTCTAGATTTTCTAGATTTTCTAGCGAACTCGATAAGTTAGAAGATTTTAAATTTAAGTAATTTTTTATATAGCGATTAATAATATTAATAATAATTATTTTTATATTAATAGCTTAAGAATCTACTTCGAATTCTTTATCTATTATTCTACTATTACTATAATAATAAATAATCTTATTAGCGAAAGTATTTAAGATTTTTAATAAAAGATATTATAAATCTTTAAACTTCGTAGTAAGTTAAAAATTATTATTTAAAGATTTAATAGGCGAGATATTTATAGCTTAATCTAAAGGGGTATATTTTTCTACTTCTAGAGTATTACTAGTAGAAGAGAAATTGAAAAAGCGATATTTCTAAGTCGTAGATTCTTGAAAAAGAATAAAGTATTATTCTTAGGGAAGTATAATTGATAGTCTAATCTTCTAGCTAAGTTTATTAAGAAAGAGAATTAAATAAAGAAGAATAAGATTATATTTATTAATCTCTTAATAATAATAATACTAGTCTAGTAGATCTAAAGGTATTCTTAATAAGATATTAAATAATCTTTTAAGTAGTTTTATTAATAAGGGAGCTTACTTAATAATCGAAGGTAATAAAATCTCGTAGTTATTAGGTCTAAATGATTATATTATAGAAAGTTAGCTTAACGAGTATATAGAAGTAGCGAAAGATAAAGAAGTACGAAGATTCTTCGTTCTTATTTAAGAAGTATAAGGATTCTCAACTTCGAATTAGTTTAATATTAATAAAGAACTCTATTAATTTCTAGTAGTAAGTTATTATATAGTAGCTGCTGCTATATAGATATTGCTATTACTATTATAATAATATTAGATTCTTAGAAATCTTATTTCTAAGAAAGACGTTTTTTAAGAAAGACGTTTCTTAAGTAGTAAAAAAGATGATTCTTCTTCTATGAAATCTAGTTATCTAAATATATCTTAATATTAAGTTATATTAAGCTATTAGTTACTAGCTTCTATTATAAGCATAATTTATAATATTTACTATACGTCTAGTACTATTATATATTTATACTAGAGAGATAATTCTCTCGAATTTAATATAGCCTTAAACTATATCTAATTTAGATTCTTTAGACTCTTACGACTCTTATAAATAATATATATATATTTTTTAATTAGAGTAATCGACTATAAAGTAAATTTAATAGATAATATTTAAATTCTTTATCTTTAAATATTTATAAGACTAAATTTAATAATTCTTTTTTTACTTAAAAGTATAAATTACGTTCTATAATTTAAAAAGATAAATTTAAAACTTTAATAGAAAATTAAAAAGTTATTCTAAAATTAAATAATATACATCTATTTTTTAATTAAAACTATCGACTATCGAGTAAATTTAATAAGCGAACTTTTAATAGACGATATTTAAATTTCTTATCTTTAAATATTTATAAGATTAAATTTAATAATTCTTTTTTTATTTAAAAGCGTAAATTACGTTCTATAATTTAAAATAAATTTTTTAAAATTTAATAGAAAATATAAATGTTATTCTAAAATTAAATAATATATACTTATTTTTTTAATAGAATTATCGACTATCGAGTAAACTTAATAAGCGAACTTCTAATAGATAATATTTAAATTTCTTTTCTTTAAATATTTATAAGATTAAATTTTATAAATTTTTCGATAATAAGAAGCGTAAATTACGCTCTAGAATAATAAAAAATCTTAATATTTAAATAGAAAATAAAAAAGTTATTTTATTTATAAATAATATATATTTATTTTTTTAATAAAAGAGACTTAAGAGAATTAATAAGCTAATTTAAATAGTTTAATTAAAAAGCGTAATATTCTTAAATTTATAATAAACTATATATATAAATTTAAGACTTTTTAATTTAAGTCTATCTTATTCTATTATATATATTACTAGCGAGATTATTAACGATAATAGCGATATTTTAATAACGTTATATCTTATTTTAATATAACGCTTATATAAATACTTATATTTATTTAATAATATTCGCTATCTAATAATATATAATCTTAAATTTAATAAATTCGAGAGTAAATTTTAGAGAATACTCTTTCGAAAACTTATCTCGAGTTTTTCTACGTCTTATTACGCGATATAGAATTTATAAAATTTAAATAAAATTTATTATATTAATATATAACGTTCTTAATATAAATCTAATTTATAAAACTCTTAAAACTCTATCTTAGATATCTTATTTTATATTCTATTTTTTAATTTTTTAATTTTTTAATATTAGTATATATAAAAGAATAAGATAGAATTAAGTTTAAAAATCTTAAATTTATATATATAGCTAATTATAAATTTAAAATTACTACGCTCTTTAATTAGATCGACTAAGTTATCGCGAGTAAATAAATTAGCGTTCGTAATTATTAAATATTAAAAAAATAGATATATATTATTAACACATAGAATAACTTTTTTATTTTCTATTAAAATTTTAAGATTTTTTTTTAAATTATAGAACGAAATGTGAACTTTTAGAAGAAAAAAAATTCTTAAATTTAGTCTTATAATTATTAAAGCGTAAGGAATTCAAATATCGCTTATTAAAGTTCGCTTATTAAAGATTCGCTTATCTGTTATAATATTAGCCCCTTCGACTATCGTATAATATATCGCGTATTACTAGAGCTAGTAATTATTAGTTATTATTAGTTATCTATTTTATATATATAAATATTCGTATATTTTATAAATTAATAATTAGTCTTTCAATTATTCTAATATATCTAATATTCTACTTTTAATATTATCTATCTATTTACTCGATAGCTCTAATTAAAAAAAAAAATTATAAATTTAATTTATAGGCCTTTACTCGTTATTATTATAAAAGAATAAATTACTAAAGTAAAATTTAAATCGTCTATTATTAGATATTAAAGACTTTCGAATATATACGAGTATAGCGCAGCCACTCTAAAACTATGCTAATGATAATTTTTTTAGCGTTGGCTGAGGTATAGAAACACCCGAGAGATAGAGGACTTTGGTTATTTTCGGCAAATTTAGTAATAATGACGACGGTGTTCGGGCTTCTATCATGATCGCTTCAACGTTCACTCCTCAAAAAACAACAAGTGTACTTGATTTTCTAAAAGATGTCGACCATTTTCCCTCGAGCCTCTTTGCAATCCTTAGGCGTCTTGCGACCCTCAGCAACAGCATCACGAGCAGTCCCAAGGTGTTCTAAAGCACTGCATCAATACACCACATCAAACACCCTGACCGCTTCGAGTATACGACTTAGACCGCGGCTTGACTCGTTGAATTCGAGGTCCAAGTTCCAACCACATGCCCTCGCTGGCACAATTCGAACGATATTCATCCAAACAGAGAATACGCCAAACGCTGATGTGAGCAAACGACCCCACACGACCAGTATCAGCTACTGAGGCATCGAAGGCACTCAAATTCCTTCCCAACCACACTATTTTACCTGAGGGTTTAGCATCGCCGTTTCTCGAGTATTTGTCGCCCAGATCTACATTGGCGCCTCCACACCCTTCGCCTTTGGCAGCGCGATTGCTGAACGTCGATGGAATTACTTCAATATTCTATGGTCCAGATTTCATTACTGTCACGAAGGCCTCTGATGCTATCTGGGCGCACGTCAAACCAGAGGTTTTCAGTTTGATCACGGAAGCAGTCACTTCTGGCGAGCAGATTGTCAATACGATCGAGAACAAGTCCGCTGAAGCGGGGCAAGAAGGAGGGGAACAAGATACGCTTGGATACGACGAGAACGATAGCGAAGTGGTAGGCATGATCAAGGAACTTCTCGAGACCCGGATTCGACCAGCGATCCAAGAAGACGGGGGGGGATATTGAGTTTCGAGGCTTTGAAAATGGGCATGTTCTACTGAAGCTCCGCGGTGCTTGCAGAACGTGTGATTCAAGCACTGTAACCTTGAAAAATGGCATCGAGAGTATGCTTATGCATTACGTTAGTGATGCATTGCTTTGGCCATAAGCTTTATGTCTGTGCTGACAATCATCCGCTACAGATTGAAGAAGTCAAAGCTGTTACACAAGTGCTTGATCAAGAGGAGGAGATTGCTATGCAAGAATTTGCCAAATTCGAGGCAAAGTTGAAGGAACAGAAGGGACCAGATGCCATTGCTTCAACAGTAGGGAAAGGGAGCTTGGATACTGCAGAAGCCTGAAGCGTTAATAAACGAATGTGGAATTTTGACGATACTGCAAGTGACTCTGCAGGGCGTTTGGGATGCACCGAGAGGTTGAATGCTAAGGACGATCTTATGATGGCCTCTCAAGAACCCTTACCTCGCACATCTGGTTTCTATCAAGGTCACCTGTGAGTGGTCTGGAAGCTTTTCTGAGGACCGAGTAAGGCAAACATGCCGGACAAAGAATCCAGACGAATTGGGCGCCTGATCAGATAGCCACTTTATCTGCAAAAGCTCGCCGAGCATTTCCGATACATGTCTTGCTTCGAGTAGAAACCAAGTTGCTGAGGTAGTCTGTTGTTCACTTTAAAAGATATTCTTAATACTTTTGGGGATTGCGATATAGCGTGACGGCCATTGTTGCAGGGCCTCTATTCTTCTTTTGACTTTACGACAGACCTGCGAGATCGACAAACACAGCTGTCTCGTGATGTTCTGAAAATAATAGTATTCACATGAAGCATTAGTGCATGCGGCTACTTGCTGCTCGGGTACACGGGTACACCTAACATGTTCAAACTGGTGAAAGTGAAAGTGTGGGGTATCCCGGTTGGTCCTTGTGAAGGCTATCCAACTGTGGCTTGTGAGCTGGACCCTTCACAACCTCGAGGCTCGAGCATAGCAATAGTAGGCGAATTGACCTGGGACTTGCTCGATATTATTATCCCGCTACATGCGATGGAGTTTCCCACCGTATCGCATCGCCATCCCGCCGGACTGGCTTGTTGAGAGCGTTACCTGTAGAATAATTCTCTATAACTACTCGAATCCCTTCAGCACAGGCATGTAGGCTGCATGTACCCAAGACCAGCGTATCAGATGGCATGATCGACATTGGCTACTTTAGGACTGACAGAGCTTTTACCCCTCCTCGTGCGATCCTCATGCATTGCAGCATCTCTAGACTTGACTCCAGTCTCTCTCCGCATTTGAAAAGAACGCCTCTCGCCTCTTTTAGACTCAAAGAGACCCCGCGCCCGCGGGGACGACTGGGGTCCTTCACTTTTAGCGCCTCAAGATCCCTGGGGAACATCCTGGCCTCTGGCCTCCTCTCCTCCTCTGCTCGCTCCCACCCTTATTGAGGTTTACTTCCCTTCCTGAGAACCCTATCATCTACGAATACTCCCACTGTGAACGCAGCCTGGTCGACAAGGACCCAGAGGGACATCGAATTGGAAACGTATCACCTGCTTGGAACCCCGCAATCATCCTGAGTGAAACACCCGCGCAAGAGCAGCGCCGTTAGAGAACCAGAAGACTTCGACAGCTGTTCTTCTTCCTCCCTGTCTAGCCGTCTAGGCTTTCGACTCCCGACTGTCATGAGGCCAGTCGTCTTGATGGTCGATATCGCCACCTCAACGACCTGAAGACTTATCCACAGTCTCCCCAATTTGGTACCTTCGATGGGCCGTCGCGTCCTACAACAGTATTCGGCCGGGAAGAATTGACGAGCAAGAGAAGAACACAATCATCGGGTACATACTTGAATCCTTTATGGGTCCTGTTTAAGACTCTTGGCGGAGCCTAAAAGCACCACAATTGAACATCGTATATCTCCGAGACACTATCTGTGACCAATTTCTATTACGCCTGTGCATACATAGATTCAGTTATACTATTCTTGTTGATCCTTTTATTGGTACGCGTTTCCAATCCTGCGTGTCTCTCAAAGTTTGCAGAACGATCACTGGCAACGCTTCTTCTTAAGCAGCTTGCTGACTTCTGCAAGATACCCAACTACTACTGATAGGACTATTGATCCGCCGGCGTCCATTCTCAACAATTTTCGCAAAAATTAGAGGAAGAATTGCTCTGAATAAGACTGTGAATAGAACTGCTAGGTGGGTCGTTGCTACTTCCCTGCTGTCATTGCAGTTCACCCGCACGTTGTTGCGCTGTCATGCCATCTTGCTGCTCCCTCCATGCTTGGGATGACTCGATCGATTTCTACGACAGACTGAGAGCATTGCTTCTGTTGATCTCTAAATGCTTCGTATTTCTCAGACAGGTTAATGGGACGTAAGGAAGATGGCATTTCCTTGCAGCTGCAAAGCCTTGAATAGCGTCAACAGCTCGTCATAAGTCAATACTGATGTGGTAGCATAGACTTCGAAGGAGACGTTACTTCGTTTAGATCGCTATATCATCACGAATTCATAAATAACGAAATTCTACCGAGACCTGCGATTACCTCACAAGATCTGTGCAATGTAAGTCAAAGGGATACCATTGCGGCTGAGTGGTGATATATGAAGCTGCTGACGGACTTTTAGCCTGCATTTCACCAGGCAGTGTTTATTGATGTAAAACTCGTTGGACAATACTCCGACCATCAAAATCAGGCTTGAGTCTGTCACGTTCTGTCGTCGGCGAGGGACAGGGTGCACTTTATTCACCAGGCATTTTGTTGATGTGAGCCCTTTCTGATCTACGCAAGTTTCATTAAATAATCACCTCTCTTCCACAAAGAGAGACTCTCTGACTCACATTTTTTACGGACTCCCGGCGTGCAAGCTTCGATGGCCTATCACCTTACATCGTGTGACTGACTTTTGACGTTCGTAGCGGTCTCGAAGTTCAAAGATCTATCTAAATATCCTGAGTGAGCAAGGTCTCATAGAACGGTTACGAGGAATGGTCTCAAGCCCGTGGACAAGCTATTCACCCAAGATCATATCGTCTAGGTTGTCAAGATGACATCCACTACGAGTTCGCAGGCCCAGGCAGGCCAAGCAAAGCGCACTTCTTTCGGTGGCTTTCCAGGGGGTGGCGCGTCAATCTTCCTCGATAGGTCCAAAGCTGGTTTCCGTGGCTCTACACCCGACTCCGAGGCACTCGCATCTTCTGATGACGAACAAGATCATCATCTGCGCTTGCATCCCGTGACCAGCAATCCTGGACCAAAACCAGTCCGCCGACTATCGTGGCTCACAGACATGCAACAAGTGCCAAATCGTAAGGGGTCTTTGGGCGGCAACGGACCGTTTGCACCAGCTAGCCCCAACACGACGGCATCTCCTAATGATCAGACACCATGGGGAGGAAATGTTGCATCAAGTACTGGGTCAACGATAGGCCGCGGCCATGCCACCAGTACTTCGTTTCCATGGGGAAACACTATCTGGAACAATGACCCGCAAAAGGGCCTGCCTCAACGTTTGACCGAAGTATTACCGTCACCCACCAGCATGGTATCTCCTGGATCTACGAGCCTTTACACCGAGGAGCCTTTGCACAGTCCTCCGCTAAGTCAAGAAAACATGGCAGATTCTGCGATCCCTTTTGCAATCCCGCTTCAACCGACGCTCAAGACATATCGGTCCCAATCGTATTCGGTTGGTCAACTGGATCCAGAATCTTCGAACTTGCCTTCCAACAATTATGGTGGCTACAATGCTTACGGCCGCTCGAGGAATGGAGCACCGTATGCAGGGCTTCAGCACAGACCCTCGCGTCCAAGCATGTTAGGAGATCTGTCACACGATCCACCTCTCTTGGAACAGCTTCGGGAGGTCGAGGACGACGAGGAAAGCTCTAACGGCTCGGAAACGGACGTTCAGCTTTCAGCACAGGAAACCAAGATTCAGCAGCTTGCTACGGAGAACGCCATGCTCCGGCAGGCAGCCGCCGAACGATCAGAAAGCGCAAAATTACGCAATCGAGCAGCCACTAGTATCACAAGCAAAGCACTGCGTAGTTCTGCTCAAGTGTACAGTCAACACTCACGTGACCCACTGGCCGAAGAGACAGAGTATGCTTTGTACGATTTTGAGGACTCTGAAACTCCCAAGCTGTACAAATACGAAAGTGTGAACGGGAGGAGATCTAGTGAGTACGCTACTAAATCGAGTCCGCATTATACAGTGGCAGGCATTCCTGAGAACAGGACACTGGAGAGTGTCAAGAAAGGACACTGGCAAAGCTCACTAGGCTTTGGTGGAATGGGAGAGCCACCTCAGAGCCGTCGTCATTCCTTCGCCGACGTACCGACCCGACAGAACTCGATCGGTTCAGCAGGTGACTCGCAGAACGGGCATAGCGCAGGTGACATCGGTCTCCGATCTAATGGTAGACATGGGAGTCCCGGAGGGTATAGTGATGCATTGGCTCGCCCATCCCAAGGCGATGGTAGTGAGTGTACCCATTTTCATTCGCCTCAAATTATGCAAGAACGATATTTAGGACTGGAACATTTACGCGACCGTAACTTCGCAGTTGCCTACTTTTCCCGAAGGGACCCCTCGGTGCGGAGCGGAGAGGGCCACGGCTCTGCGGTAAATCATCACCAGGAGTACATGCAGAGCCAGTACGGACGCTCGCAGCACCTCGGTCATCTACAAGCGCGCCCCAGTCAACTCCTCTACATTGTAACGTTCAAGGCCCAACGAGCTGACGTGTTTTACGTGCAAGAAGGCACCGGTCTTCAGGTAAAGAAAGGTGATTTGGTGATCGTGGAGGCGGACAGAGGTGCAGACCTTGGGACTGTAGCCAGTAACAATGTGCCGTTCGCCGAGGCGAAAGAATTGAAGGACCGATACATGCAAGAACACTACAATTGGCTCATGGTATTTTCTCGTCATGGTCAAGACGGGACAGTGGCAGGGCCCAACCCAAACGGTCAACCAAACACGTCAAATAGTGCGATCGAAGGGATGAGCGGATCGCCGGGGCAAGTGGGCCCACAGGACCTTCCAAACAGCGAATTGAAGCCGAAGATGATCAAACGACTGGCACAACCTCACGAGATCCAGACTCTGAGAGACAAAGAAGGCAACGAGGCCAAAGCAAAACGCGTTTGCCAGCAGAAAGTGGTCGAACACCGTCTCAATATGGAGATCTTAGAAGCCGAATTCCAAATGTGGGTAGTGAGCGAGATATGCCATGGGCTGGGGCTAATGCCTTTTAGGGACTGGAAGAAACTTACCTTTTACTACTTCGCCGATGAGTACATCAATTTCAATTCCTTGGTCACAGATTTATTCAAGATTTACAAAACCCGTATTTGGATGTCTGCAATCAATCCCGCGTCATTCCAGACACCAGCAGGAGGACTGCAATTGCCTGGAGGCATTGGGTCCAGCGTTTTCAGCGCTGATACAGACCAGTATTCCAACCGCCATCCACAGAGACAATATCCAATGTCTACATCAAGTGGTCCAAACCAAGCACCACTGGGCGCCTTCGACCACGCTTGGAGCGCCAGTCGCGATAATGCTACCGTTGGCCCCATAGCCTTTCCTCAGCTCTACGCACAACCGTTTCCCTCTCATGACCTTGATGTTCGCTCGCTAGACCAGTATCCGATAGAATACCGTCAGGGTCTCCATCAGGTACTTAACATACACTCGCCTTTCAATTCTCCCGGTTATAACGCACCAAATCCTCACCACTCTTCCTCTTTTACCGCCAGACCGCAGAGTGGCAACGGCGGGATACAAGCGTCACATGTTTTCGGCAGGGATTGGAATCAATCGTTTCAAGGACTATCATTGAATCCTTGACACCTCTGACCTCCCGTGAATTTGCTTTGGGGTCCAAGAGCGGCTTTGAAAGGACGAACACGGGGAGAGTCCCCGATCTTAGGAGGAAATTCCACCATTCCATGGTCTGTGCTCGCTGCGATAAACTCTTCTCTCATGCATAGCAGATGAATCGACGACAGCCAAGTTCGAATGGCCACGTCCATTTCTTGCTGTCTGCGCGATGGCCTTGCGTACAGCTCGGGGGTTTTTACAGGTCTGAATCTAGTGTTTCCGGCACGTATGGTTTGCGGGAATGCGAACGACTTTATGAATGCAAATGCGCATAGACCAACTTTCTTACTCTCATATTGATGACATATATGGAATAATAGTGACGTTGGCTTGACTTGATGGTAGCCAGATACCTTCTCAGGTAGATCAAATATGTCACAGGTCACGTGTCTACCTAGAAGCACTGGTTGACGATCGAGCTGTTATCTAGAATAAGTGAAGGACGAGATTGAATGGTAGTATGTGGTGTGCACTTTGACGTAAACTATTCATAATGTTAACCTTTGGTGTGCTCGTCCTTACTCAAAGAGCCATTGTATTAGGGCACTTCTCTGTGTGATGTGAACCCCGCCTGATCCAAGCACTTTGGCATAAATCATAACACATGAAGGACCAACTTTGAAGACCCCACAGAACCAACCCGTCAAGGCTGAATCACGAAACGAAAGATTCCTTGACTTGACGTAGCTGAGAGCCCAAGCAAATGCGGGTATTTTCTACTTCAACCCAGACAACCTCAGCAACTGTTTGCATTCAGTGAAATCAATCAAAGGCCATCTACTCCCATGAACAACTATCCGTCATGGCCAAAGCTGGTAAAAGGTCTAACGGTTTGTCCTGCGAGTTCAACTTCCAGCAGTGTCGAGTCAGCTGAATCCTAACTGCGTAGGTGAAACATACTACAACTCTACAAGAGCTAAGAGGTCTAAACCGAGCAATTCGAATCGGCAGCCTGCTCAGATGGGAGACGTGCCTGACCCTGAAGAAGAACTAGGACACTCAACGAGCGTGTAAGCCTTTTCTTACGCCGTGCTCAATGAATCAACTCAAATCCAAGCCAGAGAATTCTTGGCTGCAGCGAAGGAACCTGCGAAGAGGAGCCATGCAGCGGTCTCAGATCTCAAGAATATTGTTGAGGAGGAGAAGAAAAGGCTAGCCAAACTACTCGAGCAGAAGGCATTTGGCGTGTACGCTCGTTATGTATCTACGGGTTGGATGACTCCGAGTAATTTGAGTTCTAGCACGAAACGAGACTCTGAACTCAAAGACACTCTCATCAAAGTCATACACGACGCCCAGCGAGACCGAACAGATATCGATGAGGAGGGGGTCGACCCGTCCTCCACATCGAAGCCCACAGCATGCGCCATTTACCAGAGCGCCAAGTCTAACATAGCGTCTTCGCGAGGATTGCTAGGACACTACGAACGAGCGTCTCAACAGGTCGCTTCTGGACAAAGGGTCCCGATGATGGAGTCTGGATGGGAGAAGGACTTACAAACGCTGCAACGTATTCTCAACCAACAGGGAGAGAAGATCAAGTCTGAGGTACATCAAATTCTCAATGAAGACTCAGAATCCTCAAAGGAGCAGTTCAAGTGTAACATGTCAGACTTGGACACCGATCTGTGGAATCGATTTGCTGTGGGTGAAGCTAAGGAGAAAATTGTCGAGGCGCTAGACGGAAGAAGAGAAGATACGTGGGCAGTGGTAGCAAAGAATGCACAACGAGGTGTGCGACGTACAGTCAAAAACCTTCCGGAGGATGGCGAGTGATGTTCGCGGTAATAGAAGGGCATGCCCATTTCTTAGGAGCTACAGTAACGGAACTTGTTCAGTAGCTTGAGGCATAGCTGATTTAAGTCTCACAAGGCCCTTAAAAAATCGAGTCTATTAATCTCAATATGAATAAAGCCAGAATGCTTCGTCAAGTTGCGAGTCCACGGAGTCCAAGTTGAAATAGCTGGGCTCAGCCTTACCAGGCCTCGCTTATATTGTTGCCGACGAGCCGCCCACAAAGAATGACGAATCCAATTCCGGAACATCACGACAAGACACATTCTCGTCAATCAAGTCAAGGTATAATCTCCTATTCCGAGTAACTCCTGTCTGTCATACTACTTGCTTCGAAGGCATCGCCTGATTGTTCTGCGATCCATTCCAGGCTGACAGAAAGTGAGCGCAGATGGGTGCCCTCAAATGTAAGAAGGTCTCCCCAGCAATCCAGTACCCCCAACCTTTGGCTGAAACCTACCGCAGATGTCGAAGAGCTTCAAAAGAAGAAGCAATCCGATGTCCTCCGTTTCCTGCTGCGCGTCCGATGCTGGGAGGTAAGACAGCCCTCTCATGCCCTTCAATGAGGCAAGCGCCATGCAAAACCTACATTTGGCCGGGAAAATTCTTGTGGCACATTATGTGTGTTGCTATACACTCGTTGAACATTGCTGAGAGTGCATGGATATAGCTTCGACAATTGCACGTCATCCACCGCGCTTCTCGTCCCTCTCGCCCGGATAAGGCGCGTCGTCTAGGCTACAAGGCCAAGCAGGGTTATGTCATCTACCGCGTGCGTGTGCGTCGTGGAGGACGCAAGCGACCTGCGCCCAAAGGCGCTACCTACGGTCAGTACAAGGGATTTGCCCTTGTCTCTCGAGAGATGCTGATCTAGAACACCTTGAAGGCAAACCCACCAACCAGGGTATCAACCAGCTGAAGTACCAGCGTTCACTCAAGTCCACCGCCGAAGAACGCGTGGGGCGCCGATGCGCCAATCTGAGGGTGCTGAATTCCTACTGGATCAACCAAGACTCGACCTACAAATATTTCGAGATCATCCTCGTCGACCCTCAGCACAAGGCCATTCGCCGCGATCCCCGCATCAACTGGATTGTCAAGCCTGTGCACAAGGTAACACTCTGTCCTCTCACTCAGTAGTCATTCTAGCTGACATAAGCTCAGCACCGTGAATCTCGAGGTCTCACGGCAACCGGCAAGAAGTCTCGTGGGCTGGGCAGGGGTCACAAGTTCAACAAGACTACGGCGGGCAGGAGGAAGACATGGAAGCGTCACAATACCGAGTCATACTGGCGTTACCGTTGAGCTTGAACTTGCTTTTATTGGGGCCATGGCATGCAGTGAGCGTGATCTAGCGCTAAAAGGATTGCTCCTATTCGTTGCACAATGCTTCAAAAGCTTCTACTTGATGTATACGTCTAGCCCTGTCCCATCAAACAGTTGCCGTATCAAATCATAACGAAATTGAACGGAGAGAATCACACGTTCTCTCCTGCCATGCTCCAAACTATTTCACGGGAACGCTTGTTATGTGACCTGTCAGGCTGACATCGAAGGTCGATCCAGACAGCTTTACAGGAACACCGAAGGCTTTGACACAGTGCCCACGCCAGACCGATCGCATGCCTCGACGCAATCATGGCATTTTACGCTTGTCACTGGGCCAGAGATAGGACAGCTTTCTTTATCGTACTCCTAGATTTCGTTGAAAAAACTATGCTTGCAATGCCCTCAAGACGGCAGTTGGGGTATCTTTGTTTTACACTGGGGATGGCCAATGTCCGAATGGAGGTCCAAGCGAATTGGGCACAACGCCTTTGCCCCAATTCCGAAACCCCACGCCCGTAATCAAGCCGCTGTCAAGGTATCCGTTCCATTCAGACCTGTGCATTGCACCTCATCTCCGTGGCTATCAGGAAATGCAAACAATAGAGGCGCGACAAACGCCTAGGTACCTAGAGAATCACTTGATCCCAAAACCTTCGCTCTCAATGACCGCTCTCCAGAGCTTGGCCTCCAGAACACTTCTATCGCGATATCGGTACAAACCTAGCATGTTGAAACATGTTCTGGCTATGGGAAATCTATTGCTGTGATCCCCAAGGCACGTGATCTTAATGACCAGACTGGTAGCGCCCATGGCCGGAATACGGTCGCTAGAGGTGATGAAGCTCAATAGCTTCCTCTGATCTTTGGCACTAGCCTTTCCGAAGGCGTCCCAGAACCAGTCCACCACAGGCTCGTCGGATGCATTGATGCCTTTGCCCCAACCGTCGTAGATGGCGACCGTGCGCAGTGTTGCCACGTCCAAAGGCTCATCTGAGCCCCGTACAAGAAGCTCAATCTCTTCGGGACGGAAAAGTGAGAGGGCGTTCCCTCCGCAAACTGTGAAAAAGCCACGCTTGAAAGGCTCGTATTGACGGGCGACAGACGTGTCGAGAAGGTACTTGATGTAAAGGTCTACAAACTCGTATCGATTGCTGTTGGTGACAGCTCTATTTTCGCCATTGGAACACAGTGGGACCTCCAGAAGCTGGCCGTATCTGTCCCCAACCGCAACGAAGTCTCGGCAGAATGTTTCCTCAACGTCGCCGTCGAATTCCAGTAGTTGTCTTAGGCCTTTAGCGAGCGTTGGCCGAAACTCCGCCAGGTCCTCCAGGGTATAACCAGAAGTCGGACGTAAAGATGACGTCACAGGTCCAGTGTAATTGGGAGCGGAGGCGAGCAATTTTCGGAAGGCAAATGGGGGAAGCGCAACATCGAGGATAGTAGAATTGTAGATGGCGAGGCCAAGAACCGCTCCCACAAGAAAGAACTGATCCGATGTCTCAAACGTACCAGGGTTGAAATAGCAATAGTGAGAGTCTTCGTCGTAGACGAATAAGCCATGTTCCGGATCGAACACCTCGCGAACCAGTAGGAGGAACCATTCTTTGCGAAGCCCACCAGAATCTAGCCCTTCTTCGCCAAGGAACTCGATGCGCAAGCCTTTCTTGATCTCCTCTTGACCTGTGCCAACGACCTCGCTGACGCTACGAAGACTATCTTCGACAAGGCAGTCCCTTCGCACCTTCAGTATAAGATACTGGTTTATTGCCTTTCGGCTCATGATGCTATTAAAGAACGCTTCGCGGGCCTTGATCTCCATTTGCCGACGAGCGTCGTGCTCCATGATGCGTATCTTGGCCCAAATGGACAGGAACATGGGATACTGGCAGAAAGAGAATCTTCCCCTTCGAGACTCCCAAGCTTCGAAGTCGGCTACCAGATCGGAATAATCTAAAAGAACGTTGTAAAAGGCATTGGTTGGGAGAAGTTGACCGTGCCGGTGGGCTCGATTTCGAGCGGCTGAGCCAGCCCTGGATCTGCAAGCGGCAGATGGAGATATTCTGGTACTGTCTCGTCTTCGAGACGAGCCTTGGTTGTTAGCGGAGAAAAGTAAAGACATAACCCTTGCAGCGGCTTTTATCTGCCAGTCTTCGCCATATGGCATGCCGGCATCGTTCCTGTCAGGTGACTTAGGCGCCCCTGATATACCAAGAGCGGCATGGAGCTGAGCAGAGCTTCCTGGACCTGGGCCTGAAATACTAGGTATTAGCCCGCCATGTTCATCGTGACTGTTAGTTCGCTTCCTGCCGTGCTGTCTGGTAAGGCGATACGTGACGAAACTTCCAGTGAGATCTACAATTCTTCGAAAATGCACTTCAGAGAATCGAGAGAACCATATGATAAGGTAGTGGTGGCACTCGCTTGGAAGGTTTGACATGAGACCTAGAATGCGCTTGATTATACCTGAGTGCTTGCCTGTGCTACCATTTCTGGTGCTCGGAGACCGTCGATCGGACGTTGAAGGTTGACGCAAAGAAGCCATCAGCGGCCGTGGGGCGGTACTCTGGCTTTGGCTAGCAGATGTTTCGGACTTGGCGACGGTGGACAGTGTTGCTTTGCCAAGTTCAGGCGTGTACAGCAATGGATTTGTGAGGAGTATGAGTAAGAAGCGGCAATCTTCAGGAGTTTTTAAGGGCCGTCCTGGACGTCGAAGCAGATTCTCAGTCACCTTGAGCAGCGCTCGTTGGACATGCGCACAAGCTTCGGCAAAATCTTCCTCAATCTGCGCGAGATCTTCCGTCAATGTAGTTCTCAACATTGCCTTTCCTTTCTCGCTCAAGAAATCCCCTCCTTGAAATTTCTGCAGTCTCTGCCTCCAGGAGCTCCCAACAGTCACGATCGCGTGATACCACTCATCCAACTCCGCCCAATTGACGCATGGGGACTTCAGATTACTTTTTTCTTCAAAACCCCCTTCTGCTATTTTGAGAGCATTGCCATGAGATCGGAGCTGCTCTAGATGGCTTCTTCCCGTCCACCAGGTCCCGTTTTCCGCGAAGTCTCCAAGGAGCAATGTTTTCGCATCTAATTCTGGAAAAGGGGTCTCATGAGGAAACCGATCTTCAGCTCTTGGAGTCATACACTTCTCAAGTACTGTACCTTCGCTGGCAGCTCGAAGCAATTGATGAGTTTTGACGGTCAAAAAAGACGTATTCAGGCATTCGACGCCACTGAAACAAGCTACTAAATAATTTTCCAACGGCCGGAACATGAGTCGAGGAGGTTCTTTTGCGTGCTGCGGGGTAGGTTCAGATGCAGCGCTAGTAACTTTGAACGACGGCGCCTGCAATGCGGATGGTGGCGGCGCCGGCGGGGCTCTAGAGGGGGATGGCATCGTAGGGGCGATCTGTCCAACATTGGGATTTGCGAGACCAAACTTTCCAGCAAGCAATGGTAACGAGGAACATGTGCTGTGATCACGTTTGTTTTGAATATGCACACGCTGAGAAAGTTGGTCGAAACAGTGCTCCAAGCGCGACTGTAAATACAGACTTATGCATTCGTCGATTAGGTTTCGAGTCCTGTCGAGAGACAGAGACAGGACTGTTGTTGCAAGTTAGATGGATATTTTAATCATAGGGTTTGTGGTACCTTTTCTGGGCAGGTCTGGGTATGAGGAGGATGTGGCAGTACTTGGGCCTTCCGCCCGACGACCCTCCATCGATGACCCTGCTCCCGGCTTCAAGTCATTCACCATGAGACACACCGTACAACGGAAGACATCCAAGTGCCTGGGCCATCTGACTAGGGAATCGCAAGTAATGCATTTGCCTGTTACGAGATCTTTTTCCCCGTTCTGCAAAGACGTCCCATTCACTGCCATGTGATCCTTGGAAGAAAGCCCAGTAGACACAAATGGGGGTTCAGTCAACGTCTCTAAGGCGTCGTCATTGTAATCGACTTCGGATATCTTCTCGGCTTTCTTTCCACTCCCAAAGATTGAAGGGAAAGGGTGACTGTACGATCGTCCATGGCTTGGACGGGAGGGACTCGAGGTTCCGGTCAAAGCGATTACGGGCACGCCGTGAAGTGGCTGGTCATGGTACGTATTCTGTTCAGTATGGTCTTCGCGATGCGGCGGACTCTTTGGAGCTCTTGACTTTGGGCCCGGAGCTGGAGCAGGAGAACCAAGGTGTAGCCGAGCCGGCCAAGGAGGCATTGATCTTTACCAGCAGGTCAGTGCGGACTGATTGCTGGTCGCAGTCGAGGGTGCCAAGTCGATATGAATGGGCAGCTTTTGTTCTACACGAAGAACTATGTTTAACGTAAGACTGATCTCGAGACATGCAGTAGATACGAGTGGGACGCGCAGGCAGTACGTGGTGAAAGCAATTGGCCCGTATCGCGAAAATCCTTGTGCAGGAGTCGTAGTAAAGGCAACGGTGGATGATATGTGTGCACCACCGATACGCTGGGCATTTCCTGGAAATCAAAGGGTGAGCAGGGCATTGTTGGAAATAGAGGGAAAGACCAAAGTGAAGGTTGACCGTTCAAGCCAAGAGCCAAGCCCCACTACCTGTATGTAAAGTAAGGTACCACCAGGTACTATCGGTAGTTTTCAATCCTCAGCGTGCCCGCGGATCGTAGAAGCGGGACGGGTTATGCTCGTTACGACTAGACCCAAAGGTGATCACTAGTAGTCCGTCACTAAACAGTAACTTATACTAGTTGTAGGCTTGAAAGCGTATGACCGCTTTCCCACACACATCTATCGTGGCGCTGGAACAACCAAATTCAGAGCACTTCATCACCTGGTATTTTGATGATCAACCCCTTTCAGAAGAAAGCTTCTATGGCGCAATAGTAGAAAACATCAACAGCTCAAAGGTTGTTGCCGAGGTTTTCTTTGGTAAAGCTCTCGTTACGGGACTGTGTCGGAAGGCCGTGGTTTTCACACCCGCACCACCCCTGGGAATTAAGTACTCACTATCTCGCTCGTCGATAGTACTAAGGTCATTACTAAGCCGTACGGTTTTCGTAGTCGTGGTGTTACCTATTTAAAGGGACCCGGGAAGAGCTATCAGTCAACCAATTGATTATTTTGTCCCCATACGTGAGCCCATAACATCCAGCTACGGTAGGTATATCCCATATTTCAAAAATTTATCTCTTGAATATTTCACAGGGTATCTTTCCCGTAAATTTAGGATGACGATACTGCCCTCCTGGCTTTCTTCAAGTTTTTCTTGACCCCTTTCATGCTACGTCTTGGCCTCACGAGCCCTTTGCTCGACGACACAGGCTTCTCACCACAGAGCGACCAAATATTCATAGGCTGGCGAACTCCTACATGGCCGCCATCAGGGCTAGAAACCTCAACCCTTGGATATGGTCTGGTGTCGAAAAGGTCACCAGGCTCCATCCCCGTTTCCATGTCCCTTTTCCGAACCTGAGCAACAAGTTCGACCCAGCCGCATCCTTCAACCAGGATGTCAGCCGAAAACACCATGAATGGCAATGTTTTCGTGCTCAATCCGGCAGCGGCAGCCTTGGTCAATGGTCCAGCGCGCTGCTTGGTGACGTCCCATTCCAAGGAGAAACTCCCGGCTGATTGCATCCTGCTTCCAATGCCCGGTTTCGCAATTGTAGATACACCGGAATCTTCGCGCTGAGTATGAATTGCAATTGCCCGTTCTGTAGAGGTAACATGGCACCTCAATGGTAGAAACGGGTAGGCCAAAAAGATCAAATTAGGCGTAGTCGGCGTGATACGCAACAGGCCCCCAACGAGGAGTGACTGGCCAGGCTTGATCACGAGTTGCTCTGGCTTGACCCGATCATGCATTACAAGATCAACCTTGTGAACATCCGTAACGAATTGTTCAAGGTCCCCACGCGCCAGACCAGGTAAATCGATCAACTCGCCTCTGCCGCCGCCAAATGGTACTCTGATTGGAGACGCTGTCGTCCCAGGGAGAGACGATACTAAAGGCAACACAGGGTACGGAGTTTCTGGTGGCGCAGGAGGCAAGGAAGAGTCTTCTAAGAGCTGTGATTCCGTTTCCTTGGGCGGGTCCTGGGTTGATTGGCTCCTCTGTTGTTCGTCTCCGTTGGCATCAGGTACGTCACGAGGCAGTTTCTGCTGCGCAGCATACCGGAAGGAGCCGGAATTAAGGTCATTGCTCCGACCTTTCGGAAAGATGTTCTCGAACAGATTGCTTTTGCCGACGTTCACCTTGCCGACCATCCACCCACCTCCACCTCGATTCCAGATATCTTCCTTGACCTGTTTCGTCCACCAACCCCTTTTTGAACTTACACAGCGCACGTTACCGAGGCGCAAGTTTTCAGCGGATCCACCCAAAGCATTTCGAAGGACTTGTAAGATGTAAGGCATCAGGCTGTCGACCTGCTCCTTCTTCGGGGCCAACAGATCCGAACGTGTAATGATGAAACTCATCTCCGCTTTCCGCCCATATTGATAGTGACTCGTTCTAGCTCTCCTATTCAATGATCTTTGCGGTGCTAGCGAAAGACTTCGTTGAAGAGAAGGTATGAGAGAAAGTGGAAAATCAGCTGCGTCCAGAACATGATAGACGTGGTTGTATTTATGCGGCGATTCGGCAATGATTTCTTGAATAGATCTGATTGTTGGATGGACTACGGAGTGGCCGGTACGATGATGTATCAGGTCATGACAGCGGTTACAAACTGGTGTGGGTATGTTTGTGGAGCTTTTGCGGCCTGTGTCTAGATTAGATTGATGCTTGAAACTATGCTCATATTATCTGACCCTCTGTATTGTTTTCCCCTCCTCCCTGTAGGCCCATCTGAGACAACAAAGATGCGTCTGCAGCTCCTAAGATGCGTTCGAACAGTCTTAATTCCCCATCATGTCCCTTATCCGGGCATTGCCCATGGCGACTTATGAAAGCCTTCACGGACTTTCGATTGTTGCCATAGAAGCCAGGCTGCCCCGGGCTGACGGTCTGTGTAAACGCACCGCAACCTGGGCATGATCGTGGAAGATTTAACAGTTGTGAAGGAGTTGGAAAGCCGTGTGAGGGTGTTGTGGTAGCATCAACATGGAGCTGGTGCTTGCGAGGTCTCGGAGGCCGTCTTCCAAGACCATAGCTGATGTTGGTACATGATGCGATTGAGGGACAGAGAAACAGCGGTATCAGATTACTGGGCGCTTTCAACAGGTTAGTTGTGCGTATGCCGTATGCCATCAATGAAGCAGATCTAATCCACTTTGAAGGTGGTGAGTCCGACGATATACTTTGTTTACAGGGCTGGTGGGGCCAGTGATTTTGGGAGCTAATGAGCTTGTTCCAACTCTCACTTTCAAGAGGACAGGTACTTATCGTAGCCTCAGACGGGAACTTTTGGAAATATGATCTGATTGGGTAAATATCAAGCCTGGTGGCCTAATCGTGAATTTCCCTGCTTATCGAAAAATCTCCCAACAACGCCATCGCTTAATCATAAATGAATGGCACAATATGGTTCGAGACTCGCTACGCCATGGCTTTTGATTTGCCCTTGCCGTTTACAGATGCAGTGACATCTACCGTGGTATCGTCGGCCCGGTCTTCTCCCTCTCCGTCATCACTCATGCCCTTGCCGTTTACAGATGCAGTGACATCTACCGTGGTATCGTCGGCCCGGTCTTCTCCCTCTCCGTCATCACTCATGAAATCGTCGTCTTCGTCGAAGCCGAAGTATGACCTGGCGAGCGTAGGGGTTGGTTGTAAAATCGAGGAAACTGCGAGTGCGTTTTGTTTCAAGTCTCTCATATCCTCTTCTTCGCTCTCTTCACTTGTCTGAGCAGATGCGCCGCTACAACTACCGCTGGAGGACTCCTTGAGATTGTCATGATAATCTCCAGATCTCATTGCCGTCAGCACTGCTTCTCGCGCCCGCTCTCCAGCTTCTTCTTTATCTTCCACCCATTTGCCGTCGACTTTTCCCTTTGACCCATTTCGAATCTCTTCCTCTCTTCTTTCGGAAAGAGCAACAACTTGCTCCCAGCGAGCTCGTCTGGCTTCCTTGTCTTTTTTCTCCATTTCTGGTTTCAGCGCGAGGTACTCAGCCAGGGCTTTCGCTTCGTTGACTGTCCTGAGACGCCGGCCATCCAGGTTGCGGTTGGAGCTATTACTATCGCCTTGGTTGTTCTTTCGCTTGGAGGACATGCGCCCACCAGCAGCACGAAGCTGGGAGCCGAAACCACCCTTTCCACCACATAACGGTACCGAGAGTCGGAGAGGTAGGAATGCGTCATTGGGACTGGAAAGTAAGGTAGCTACTGGGGCTTCCGAAGAGAAAACCTCCTTGTTTGAGGTAGTGGTAAAAATGAGTCGAGAGTCTATGTGTGGAAGTCGATCTGAAAGCTGTTGCCTCAAATCTGTGATAGAAGTAGAGCTGTCGACAGGTAGAGACAAGGTAGAAGGCAAACCAAGACCGGGAAACGAAGTCAAGAAGACGTTGATGATCTGAGAAGCCATTTAAATAACTGTAGAGGAGAGAATTCCGGAAATTGTCGCTTTGATGAGAGGTCATGTAATAATGAACTCTACTCGGAACGGAAAATTGAACAGCAAAAATCTGGTCAGCCGGACAAACCACGCCATTTTTCGATAAAGAAATTAGCCGCGCGCCAAGGCACTCCGGCGTTAGTTCACTAGCTCCCACAAACATATTTGCTTGCCTTCGCCAATAACATCAAATCAAGCTCAGCATCGATCAAAGCGATTCCCCGACTCACGACAGGAACTCGCGATCATGTAAGTTTATTCTCGCATTTATATCATTGTCGGGAATCCCTCCAAGTTTGAGTGCAAGCGATGAAAATTATGACAAATCTGATTCTGCTCAACGAATAGCTAACCGATATCAGGCTCATCCCTAAAGCCGACAGAAAGAAGATTCACGAGTATCTCTTCCGTGGTATGTCTATCCACCTCCCAAGTCCGGCTCGACTTGGCCATGTTGCTGGCTTCATCCACTTGTGCTCACCAATCCCCCAGAGGGAGTTCTCACGGCGAAGAAAGATTTCAACCTCCCAAAGCACAATGAGATTGACACCAAGAACCTCTATGTAAGATCTACCGTGCCTGAAAATTCTACTCCGCCTAACGTGTCACAGGTCGTCAAGGCATGCCAGTCTCTAACGTCTCGCGGCTACCTGAAGACCCAGTGAGTAGTCTTTGCTCTCCACATCCACTGTAGAGACTCTTGCTAAAACGGTGAAAGATTTTCTTGGCAGTGGTATTATTACACTCTCACTCCCGAAGGTCTTGATTATCTCCGCGAATGGCTTCATCTACCCGCCGAGATCGTGCCCGCTACCCACATCAAGCAACAGCGTTCTCACGCTCCTCCCAAGGGAATGATGGGTGGTGACGACCGTGAGCGTCGCCCTGGTGGACGTGGCGGACCTCGTGGTGATCGCGGCGACCGTGGAGACCGTGAAGGCGGATACCGAAGACGTGAAATGGGAGACGCAAAGGAAGGTGGTGCTCCTGGCGAATTCGCCCCCTCATTCCGCGGCGGTTTTGGCAGGGGGCGTGGTGCTCCTGCCTCTTAAGGGCTGCCTGCGACCCTGCGAACGTGCCATCGAGGATGACTTGCCAGAGCGGCCCAAATAGTAGCGTGTTTGGTCGAGTGAGAGAAAATGCCGGGGTAGTTTTGGTCGAAGGAGGCAGATGACACTGCAAATAGGCCATTATCAAAAAGTGAACCTCAAAATCGTTGTAGTCTCTGCTCTACGTTCCTTGTGACGTGCTACTTGCACATGAACCATGAATGAACCTACATCCTGCCACCAGGTCTACTGAGCGGTCCCTCTCTATCACATGCTACTTCGTTGTGCTCTAAGCACATCATAGCGCAAAACAGCGCCCATGAGAACCTGCGCTCCATTCATGCAGTCTGTAGGCGAGCAATACTCGGTCGGATTATGTGAGACTCCATCGCGGCATGGTACAAAGATCATGGATGTTGGTGCCACTTTACTGCAAAACACACTGTCACTGATTGAATTCGCATGTCAGCAGTTGCTCTTTACAAAAGGGGATTGAGCTCATGAAAGATGTGTGTGGATTCCCAAAACATGAAGATATCCACAAAAAATTTGGGGCCGGGAAAGTCGTACTGCCCAGCCCCACTAATCATTGCCTGGGTGAATTTCTCATATTCATCTCCGAAAAGATCTCTTGCGCTCTCGTCCACGCAACGAATGCAATTTTCGTCGAATTCGATGGCTTCACTTGGTGCATCAAGAGTCCATTCCACAGTGCACCCTCTGCCAATAGTTCCGCTCTCGCTCAAATCATCCACTGCTTCATTCTTTGCGATCTTATCAAAATCAACTTTGAGCTCGTGTTCCAGCATCATCAAGCGGTCGTCTTCACCGGCTCGGATGTCAAGTGAAAAACGAACAAATCCTGGAACAGTGTTCGTGCTTCCAGGTTTCAAGGTTAAGATGCCGGTACTTGCCAAACAAGAGTGCTTCGTTGCGAGGCGATGCGAGTGTAGTATCATCTTTGCTGCCGTGAGCATCGCGCTATAGTGAGATTCCAGAGTCAGTATCGCCTATTTGAGGGGCAATCTTAAGTCTCGAAAACTGTCGATAGAGTAAGAGCTCCCGAGGCAAACCTCCAGACTCAAGATTTGGTTCAAAAAAAGAAATTTGCACTCCGGAAGTACATACTCAGACCTGTTAGCAAAATCTGTTGTGCCAGTATGGCAGTCGCGGCCGTTGACCTGGATAGTGTGCCAGCGGTAGGCCTGGACCTGCACGTGCAAACAGTTAATTGGCTGATTTGTTTATTGCCGGTACTCCGAGCTTACACCATGAACCACTCCAATCTTCTGCTCTTGGCTCTCAAGACGAGGACCTTGTTCTGTCACCCCTCGAATTAGTCAGCTCAACCTTCGCAAGTCAAGACATGATATGCAGAACGAGAGCAGCACTGCTTTGAGTGTAAGTGTTGAGAGACATGGTTGTAGGGGTGCTCAGAGAAACGGCACCAATTTCTCTTACCGATATGCAATTCAAAGTGTGCCTGCCATTACAATCAGCTTTCTACCTGTCAACATTCACAGACTATGCTACTTGCTGCGATAGGCATTGCGCTAAAGCTGGATTCCATTGTACCCAGATAGCCAATACGTTCGAGCTCCTGTTTCATGGTCTGCTTCCCACCTCCAACTTCTTGAAGACTGTAGGCTTGTTCGAGGGGAATTTGGCCGGCCCATACACCTGATGATACCATTGAGATGGGGAACCTCGCTCCCTCTTCGCTGCAAGCCACACTAACGCATCAGTGTTGTAAGAGTTATATCTAAGTTTGCTCACTTGGTCCAGTTGATCACACCCACGGGAAAACGGGTTTCGATTTTCTCCTCGTGTAAAACTCTGAGCATTTCGACTCCGGCACAGACTCCCAAAATTCCATCCTGCTCTTTATTTAGCGTTGCTCTAACGACTAGTGAGACTCTTAGTCTTACATATCGTCCCCCAGTGGGTTGAGTGTCCAGGTGTGATCCTACCACTGTTGGGGGCCCTTTATACTTGCCTTTCTTTACCGCAAATATATTACCCTGCGTCGATGATAATGACAATCAGTTTATCAAATCAGCAAAAGGGCAGGTTTACCATCGAATCAACCGTAGTGCTACAACCAAGGGATTCTGTAGTTGCCACAAACCAATTGCGAGCTTCTCGATCACCATCAGATAAAGCCAACCTGGACATGCCCGTGTCGGTCTCGCCACTGCCCCAAGGTCAGCTCAGTCAGAACAGACGGCCCCGATGTCTCCTGTATTCGACGTAGTTTGCAAGGAATGACGGACAGAAAAGGAACACTCGAGACAACGACCTACTTTCCCCATCTCTCGCCCTGACCATATTGACAAGTGTGATGAATATCGGCCCACAATCTGTCTCTATTGACCGTAGGTCTAGAAGTAGAAGGGTAGATGGAGGTAGTAGTAATCGCTAATCGCTGCACCCTCGAAAGAGTCTTATGTCTCCAAGAGCTTCGAATATGCCCTACCGTTATCCTGCCTACAGCACGGAGCCCCGATGAGGCCATTCTGAAAAGTTGTTTGCAGTGCACAGCAAGATTATTGTGGGAACAAGCGAAGGTAATTGGCGAGATACTTTAGCTCGAAAAAAAAACAGCTAATTAGCGGGTATCGCGTAAGTAATGAATATCGGCGCTACGAATCAAACTCTCCGACAACGAGCATTGAAAACACGAAAATCATCAGCGCAGGGACAATGAACGTTGTAAAGCGCACGAAAAAGCTGAAGGCGGTGAGTCGTAGCTTATGAGGAGCTGAATCTCATGTCGCTAACAATGTGCACAGAAAGTGAGTATAAGACAGATGGCTGTCTAATATCTTTGGGGCACGCCTTAATATGTTATATAGCTTCTTGATATACGCATTGGACCTGGAGCAGCTGTATTATCGAACGACGTTAAGCGAATTCATCTCGACTTTGCCCATAAGCTCAACGATGGCCACTTTGGTGCTCGTAAAGTTTGGCGCAAATTTCTTCCCCGACTCAAATACCACAATCCGGCAATATCAATGACAGTAAACCGCACTCTTGACCAGGAAGGACCCGCGACCCTTACAGTGTTCTTTACACCTCCTCCAAGATCTTCTTCCGCTACAGCATCGTCTGCACCTTTTTCGTCGACAGATCCATCTACTGCGCCATCAGGACATGCGTCTGGTGCCAAAATAGAGACGATTGACATGAAGCATAAGCACGAGAGTGAGATTCTATCTAGGCTGTTAGAGTTGACAAAAGGAATGCCGTACGAGGCGAGTCCTGATGAGTTGGCTGAATTGAGAGACGTGGATGATGAGAAGAGGCAGAGCGAGAGAGACAGAGAGGCGCAGGCCAGGTTGAATGAGATTAAGAGGCAGGAGAAAGCAGTACTCGATTTGGCAAGAGGGGGAGTTGAGGCTGCTTGAGAGTTGTCGTTACAAGCAACAATTGTATGCATATTACACCGTGCATATCAAGCGCCAAGGGAGGAGACGGATCACTTTTGCCCACGTATTGCATAGCATTCACAAAACATCAGAACAATGGATTCTTGATTGTCAAGACGGAAGGATCTCAGTTCTATTGTTCCATAATCTTTTGTAGTACAATCATGCGGAGTGCTCATTGAAGCAATCACAGCCGAGTTGAGTCCCAAAAACCGTTTGTCACATATGCCTTGCGTGTGTCTTCTGAGGGGAGTAATCTATTTCTACTCAAGATCAACCGGGAAGTTGCCATTCTCTGTCAATGAGGTTAGCAGCCATGCGATGTACGGGAAGGCCCAGTTGTACCTCGCTGGTCGTCCCAGCGTTCGCACCAAGCACTAGGGCAAAGTGACCGGTAGGCAAGGAAGAACTGGAGGGCGAAATTTAGCAAGAATACCCAAACGTAGAGCCTAAAACGATGTACCTGACGGCAAGGAGCGAAGTCTTCGCCTTTGGCTAAGATGCATTTGTGGTAGTCGACATAGTTTTGCCAGCAGTGCTTGGTCCTATGGTAGGTATAAGCTCTATCCACAAAGTAGGAACTGACTGGATACGCACTGGTTCTGGTTGGGGAATCGCGCATCGAAGCCTAGAGATAGGACGTCGGTTAGTAGGGCTCAAGGCAGTGGACATAAGAGACTTCGTTCCGAGTGTTCCTCATGCTAGGAAGGGCGGAGGAAGCTGACCGGCTGCCATGTACATTAGTGTCTACAGAACGAAGAGACCTGAGCAAGGAGCACTTACCGGTGACAAATTTGAACGGCTTGGTCACGAGCTTGTCTTCATCGTCCGCCATTTTGATGAATGCTGATAAAGGACGTGGGTATCGTAGAAGACAGCTGTAGGCGTTGAATGCCGATACAATTGAGGAGCTAGGTGACTTGAGGTCGGTAGCTCGGTCGACTACGTCAAAGCTCGGAGTTCTTGGCAAAACGCTAACGCCTACCCGCCATATTTGGGCGTCTTGAAAATCATCAATGGCAACTACATAAGGTGCAAAAGCGTCACACTTTGAAGCTCGCAACTGTCTTCGCAAGCATGTATCCAACTCGCATACTCAGGATGCAGCCTACGAGGCCACTTTTCAGGCCAATGCCAGTAAGTCAACGTCGTCCACCTACCCTGTCAGTCACTAATTTTCAGCAGAAAGAGGAGCACAGTGGTGTGTTCATCAGTCTTATAATCAAAACCTCAGCCTTGCACAGAGGATTCCCGAATCATGAAGCTAACAATATGTCTGGGTAGCACACACAATATCTCAGCGTCTGCGAACCCTGAAGAAGATCCCTCCGGAGCTTATGCCACTGGGTAAGCTGTGTTCTTCCACAGACTACTAATACTGCCTTCGCTAATGTCTCCTATAACAATAGGTGTTGTGCTTGGGTGAGTGCGATTAATCCGCAGTGAGCAACTAAAATGATTGAACCCTTGTTTCAGTGTTGCAATCGGATTTGCTGTCTACAGTCTGGGAAACAAACTGGTCACGGACAAGACGCTACGTCTTCACAAGACGAACCGATCAGAGAGTTTTAAGTGAACCAGTTGCTCCAAAGTTGGACATGGTCCCAAACGGTGATGGTGTGCCTTGCGAGCGGTGCTGGAATCGAGGTTTCGAAATTGGCTGAGGGTTTGAGCAATGCGCGTTAAGAAATGTCGTCATGTACATATAACTGGCATGCAATCTTTGAAAGAACCCAGTGTCCCACTCAGAGAGGCAAGCGAGTCAAATAGACTTGTCCTCCGTTGCGCTCTCACACTGGTTGCGGTCCAGCTACGTCTAAGCCTTCGAGACCTTGCATTGGGTCCTCTGGTATGGCTTCCAGTTCTTCTCGTCCTGGACCCGTTGCTATCCGATCTTCTTCGCTCACGGCATGCTTTGCAAGATACCCCTCCTGAACATATGGTCAGAATTTGAGTGCCGACATAGCAACGACGAGGCCGGACCTACCGATTCCCAGACAGCCGTTTTGCTTCCGAGACCCTCGTTACTATCCTTCTGCGGTTTGGCTGCCGCGACCTTGATGACTCGACCAAAAAGCTCACTTTGATCCATGTTGTCGATTGCTTCTTTCGCATCTCCTAGTATTTCGAATTCGACGTAGCCGAACCCTCTGTGAGGGTCCGTTGATGATGGTAGCTCTGATTTGGGTATTGTGACTTCTAAAATCTCGCCAAAAGGCAAGAAGACGTCCGCCAATATTTTGTCGTTCACTGCGTTGTCCAGACCAGCAACGTAGATTGTTGACTTCAGGCGCGACTACAGACGTTAGCTGTTGGGGATTAGAGACGAGCGGCATAAAAACGTACTGAGTCTGTCATGGTGCAATCAGGGGATAAATATAATGTAGTGGTTTATGACCTTTTCAAAGATATCCATGAGGCTGTAGTCGGCTAGTCGCAGGGTGGTGAAGCTGGACCCTAACGGAAAAAAAGAGCGGAGAAAAAGAGAGTTGAAACGCCGACGCTACAAAACTACAGCACCACTCCAAGAACTGGTCAAGGACACTTTGCAGCAATTGATACTTGATACCCATGGCTGAGCTTTAGATCTTGCATGCAGCAACTGACGCTTAACTTAAGTCTATATCGTGAAGCATTTCAGCAGGGTTGTGACTTCCCTTCTCCCATCTGTTCTCCTGCCTTTCATTTCCAGTTCCACGAACACATCGGTTGAAGCGCTCAACGGCTTAACATGGTTGGGTTACGAGAGATCCCAAGGACAGCTACGTTCGCCTGGTCATCCGGCACATCTTCACATTTCCTCGCTACTGGTACCAAGGCCGGGGCAGTTGATGAGGGGTTTTCCAATGAGACGCAACTTGAGCTATGGGACCTGGACCTGGACAGTCCTCAGCAGGGTCGGGAACTGAAACCAGCCGCAAGCATAAGTACTGACTCGCGGTAAGTGTCCAAATCATTGCCCCTCTTCTCACGTCTGCAAGAAAACTGCTGACAGTGATTTGCTGGGTTAGATTTAACGACATTGCATGGACGAATGGGCACGACAATCAATCGAGAGGCATAGTTGCTGGCGCGCTGGAAAATGGCTCGCTGGATCTATGGGATGCCGACAAGCTTCTCAGTGGGGATGGGTGAGGCTCGTTGTCCAATGCCCATGCTCAAGTCTTACCTTCTCCCAGGGACGCCTTCAAATCACGGACGTCAAAACACGGCGGCGCTATTAAAGCACTACAGTTTAACGCATTTCGGTCAGAGCTGCTAGCTACTGTGGGAGCTAAAGGCGAGGTATGCAGATTATCTAGATGTCTTTTTCGGCAGCTGAGGTTGATTTAGCTGTTCATTTCCGATCTTAATAACGTTGGAAGTCCGTTCCGCATGGGTAATGCAGTCGCCAGAGCTGACGACTTCGACTGCCTTGATTGGAATAAAAGAACAGCACACATCTTAGCCACGGGCAGTAGCGGAGGGACAATGACCGTGTGGGATGTGAAGAACAAGAGAGAAAGTCTGACCCTGAACAATCTGGGCCGAAAGCCTGTCAGCGCAATAGCTTGGGATCCAGTCAAGGTATCTAACACCGTAAACTTGTAAAGGCTGTGGCTTATTCTTCGTTCAGACCACCCGGCTTATCACTGCCATTCCTAATGATACAGATCCTGTCATCCTAGTATGGGATTTGAGGAACGCGAACGCCCCGGAGCGGGTAAGTACTCTTTGTATATTACGAGGAGGCACACTGAACGCTATTAGGTCCTGCAAGGCCATGATGGAGGTGTACTCTCGCTCTCCTGGTGCTCACAAGATGGTGATTTGCTGCTCTCTTCTGGAAAAGACAACAGAAACATTTGCTGGAATCCTCAAACAGGCGATTCGTACGGCGAGTTTCCAGTTGTTACCAATTGGGCATTCCAAACAAGATGGAACCCTCACAATCCTGGTCTTGTTGCTACAGCTTCTTTCGACGGCAGAATCGCAATTCAGTCAATTCAAAGCACCAAACCTGAGGCAGACGGTCCCGCTGGCAGTCACTCACAGACTGTGGACGACGATGACTTCTTCAGCAAAGCGCAATCACAGCCCCAAGGCACGAGCTTCAACCTCCAAAAAGCACCCAAATGGTTACAGAGGCCCTGCGGTGCATCATTTGGCTTTGGCGGGAAGGTTGTCAGTTTCAAAGGAAGTGCATCGGAGACATCAAAAAGATCGATGGTTCGCATCTCGACTTTTGCAATTGACGATGGTATTGCGTCGTCGACCGAGGCATTCGAAGCAGCGTTGAAGGAGAATGATCTAAGTGGAATCTGTGAAATCAGAATTTCCGAAGCTACATTTGACGCGGAAAAGGCAGATTGGAGGGTCATCAAGACACTGACGTCGAAGAGTCCAAGAAAGGACCTCGTGGACTACCTTGGATTCTCAAGCCAAGATGACGAGGTAGCAGATGGTGTTTCGAAGCTTTCAATGAATGGTTCAAAGGATGAAGACCCTCAAGGGTTGAAAGAACCATCGGCGTCCAAGTCCAATCGACTCTCGGCATTTTTCGATAACAGCGCTGACGGCGACAGCTTTCTTTCCGAACTTGCAGCCACTAAAGGTGCAAAGACTAATAATCCATTTCAACTGTACTCTGGCTCAGAGTCTGAACCGGATCAAAGAATCACGCGAGCACTGCTGCTTGGAGAATTCGATAAGGCGTTGGATGTATGCTTGCAAGAGGACAGGCTATCGGATGCATTCATGATCGCCATCTGCGGAGGTCAGGAATGTATTGACAAGACGCAGAAGGCTTATTTTAATCGAAAGGCCGGAGGTCCGAATTATCTGCGCCTGTTAGCATCTGTCGTCGGCAAGAATCTTTGGGATTTGGTACACAATGCAGACTTATCTAGCTGGAAAGAGATAATGGCGACTCTTTGCACGTACGCCGATAGCAAGGAGTTCCCTGACCTCTGCGAAGCACTCGGAGACAGACTCGATGAGCAGATTAAGGTCGAGGGGGACGATAGCAATCTTCGAAAAGACGCCTCGTTCTGTTACCTTGCAGGTTCTAAATTGGAGAAGGTTGTCTCTATCTGGATCGCGGAGTTGGAAGAGAACGAGGGCGCAGGACTACAAGAAACGAGCAAAGACTCCCCGTTCTCCGTTCACGCACGTTCGTTGCAAAGTTTTATTGAAAAGGTCACAATATTCCGCAAGGTTACTCATTATCGAGACAGCGATAGAGGGATAACGTCGGATTGGAAGCTCGCTTCTCTGTACGACAAATACATCGAGTACGCCGATATTGCTTCCGCGCATGGGCAGCTTCAAATTGCGGAGAGGTACCTTGAACTATTGCCTAGCAACTATCCTGCTGCAGAGGTCGCAAAGAGCAGAGTACAGCAAGCTACACACAAAGCCGCACCGGCATCAGCACCTAAACAGCCTTCGAATACTGGGCGCGTAACGCAGCGAGTACCACAACTGGATTTCCAGCAGCAGCAGCAGCAGCCCAGTCTTATTAGACAACCCGTTGCTTCAAGCAACCCATACGCACCGGCTTTGTCTGCTCAGCCTCAGAAGCCATACGCTCCTACCAATGGTGCGCCAGGCTACAATGGCTCTGGGGGGTATCAGCCAGGACAACCGCCGGCGCTGGCACCTGCACCTGCACCCACCTTTTCTTCATACCAAAAACAGCCTCTCGGGCCTCCTCCACGAAATCTTAATGTGTCTCCTCCAATTCCGCCCCCTTCCAAAGCTCCGAACCTGAGTAATTGGAACGATACACCTGAAAGCTTCTTCAAAGCTCCTACTTCCCGACGCGGGACCCCAAGCGTTGGTGCAAATGCGTCGACAGCCTACCAACCAGCACCGCAGCCTAACACTGGGCTTTCATTTGGGGCGCCGCCGAGGTCGACACCACTAGTAGGTCCACCGCCCAAAGGACCTGCCCCCCCGCCGTCAGGGATCTCATCACCTTCTACGAATCCAGCTATATACCAACAGCCCGAGAGACCCTCATCTGCTGCAAATCTTTACGCCCCTCCGCCGTCATCCTCCAATCTGCCTGTTCACCAACACCCCATGATTCCCCGTGGACCATCACCGTATAATGCTCCACCATCTGCTCCGCCGCCCAGTAACCGCTATGCCCCCCTCGCAACCTACGCAACCCGCAGCACCTTTAAATCCGCAAGATCCTTCAATGTTGCCTGGAGGCAATCGACAGGGACCGCCGCCTGCTAATCCGTATGCTCCGCAGCAGAGTTATAATACTCCCTTGCAGAACCCATCTCAACAGCCGCCTCCATCAGCTGGCCCCCCACCTAGATCCACCGCGGCTCCTTCAGGACCACCACAAGCGTCCTCTCAAGGTTCTCGGCCTGGGACTGCTCAACCCCAGGGCAAGTCCGCTCTACCCTCTCCGAAATACCGTAAGTACCACAGGAGACACGTCTTAAAGGGTAAGCCGCTAAAAGTATCTAGCCCCTGGAGACCGAAGTCATATTCCATCCAACGCACACCCCGTCTACGAAATCCTCAATCAAGATATGCAGCGTGTCAAGTCACGAGCACCATCCTCCTTCAAGGCGCAAGTTAATGACACGGAGAAGAGGCTTAATATACTTTTCGATCACCTCAACAACGAGGATCTGCTCAAGGCAGATACAATTGCGAATATGGCAGAGCTCTCGCAAGCGATACAGGCCAGGGAATTTGAGCAAGCACAAGCCATACATGTAGAAATAATGACGAACAAGACCGATGAGTGTGGGAACTGGATGGTGGGTTGATCATGTTGAATCTTAATTCGAGAAGTAGGCTGACCGGATATCAGGTTGGAGTGAAGCGCTTGATCGCCATGAGCAGAGCGACCCCTTGAACGCAAGAGACTTAATTATAGAGATAGCTTGTATTGCACTTGAGCGGTCATGTAAGAGCACCGAACAATCATTGACAGCGTAGAACTGAAGAACCTATCTGATCCAGCTAATTTCTCGAAATGTCAGCTCCGCATCGAGCCATTCTTCGAATAGACTACGCCAGACTTCCAATAGATTCCTCATGCTACCTATGTAAGCGAAATATTTACAGTGCGTATCTACATCGTCATCGTAATCGTAATCGCCCAGTATTACTTTTCACTTCCATCATCTCTTTCATACTGCTGGCCCCTTTAGGTCGGCGAGGTGGGTATCAATTCAAGGCTCATAACTTCGTAGATAGTCGTGGCATCATAGATGTGGATGCTTCGGTGCGCTAATTGGTAGATCCTCGTTCCCGTGTTGAGGATTCCCTTGTCGAGGATTGCCTTGCGGCAACATCGTCTTTCCCCGTCCCCGAGCCAGGCTGCACATTTATTACATCGACTTGTACCTGCACTGGTGGAGCCCCGGCGTCATTTCCGACGGAGACAAGATCATGCGATGTCAATGCATCGTCTTCCACAGGTCTCCAGACCCAATCTCGCCTTTTGCGCCTTCCATGAATAGGCGTCGAATGGCCGTCCTCTGCTTCGATGACTTCTCGTCTTCTTTTGTGGTCATCTTCCGTTGATGAAGTCTCGACTTCAGAGTCTGAAAGTCCCTCAATGACTGGGGTAGGCATAAACTCGACTAGTCTCTCTTGGAAGGCTACTCGCTTCACGGGTGGGAACATCCGTCTCGGCGCCCTGGTTGACGCAGCAGATACATGCCGTCGGGGTAAGGGACTGTTGCGAAGGATGCTGTGAGTGCCAATGGGGAGGATATAAGGAGCGTCATTATGGAAAGGAGAAATTCCTGGGAAGGCGGACGAAGTAGTCGAAGAGGATGGGAAATGAACCTGGGGTTGGATGGCAGACGTCGGTGTAGGGGGAGGGGCGTCAAGAATGTTCGCAAAAGTGTTCCGGTTGGTGGGAGACTCTGTAGAAGCAGAGAGGCTGGTGACTGCGGCTGACCTTTGAGCTGCTGGCGAGGACAATGTGGAGGTTTGGAGAGACAGCTTGGGTCTTTTGGGTGCTGCCGGCCTCGTTGATGGCATGACGGACAGCATTGCCCCTGCTACTTGTTTTCGAATTTCGGATGTGTGGGGTGAGGTGTCCCTACGTCTGGCTGGGAGAGAAGGGTTATAAGAGTCGTTGCTCTGGCGGCTGGGGCTCGGGTCTTGCGAGCGCATGGATAAGAGTATCATGACGGCTGCTGCCTCGAAAGATGTTTGGGGGACTGTGGGGAGGGATGGGAAATGAAGGCTTGGAGGAGAAGGATTGGGTAGAAATGTCGTTGCGAGCTGCTGAAGAGGCAGTGTCGAGAGCGGGGGGCTAAAGGAACAAAAGGACAATGATATATTCAGGCGACGCCTTGAAGCTCTCGAGAAACAATTTTTTCTTGTTTTTTCTTTAAATGAAGCGAGGTGGACGGATACTCTAAAAATAAGGTAAGGAAAGCGCATGCAGGTCTCAGTCTTAGCGACACAGGTGGACGAACAAAGAAGGGAAGGCGAAGGATCTAAGAAAAACCAAGGACGTGATTGGATTCCTCGCATAGCTGTTTTTGCCTTGAGCTTGAGCCGGTCAACCGTTGGAGGGCTTCTCTAGGGCTAGATGTGTGGGAAAGCGGTCATACGCTTTCCAGCCTACCCCTATATTCTTAATCATTGGGAAACAAAAAAGTTCCCGCAAGCACCCCCCCTCGAAAACCAAAAATTAAATTTTTTTTAAATATCTTTACAACCATTAGTCTTTATAATCTATAATTTATATAATCTTTTCTTATGATACTAAATAATTAATTTTAAGAATTTTAGAAGATTTTAATTTAGATATCGTAAGATATAGTATAAATTAAGAATATACGCTTAACGTTGAAAAGTTACCTCGGCTATTCTATAATCGCCAAGACTTATCGAAAAAATCTTAAGAATTTAATAAATTTTTATTTTACTATATAATAGATCATTAGAATATTCTAAAAATTAAAAATTATAGTCTTTATTATATCTTCTAATAGTTATAAAGTTTTTAGAAAATTATAATTTATCGTTGTAAAGTTATTCCAGAAGTTTCATTTTTCAATTATCGGAAGGGGGGTGCTTGCGGGAACTTTTTGGTTTCTCAATGATTAAGAATATAGGGGTACGGAGGTTGCCACCGAAAGTCCTGAACATGCGCTAAAACCCTTGGCATTCTTGGCATTTCTAGCATTTTGGCAAATTTCTTGAATAGCTTCATAATCTACATACGATGTTTCATATAATTACGTATGTACATTGCTCGGATCTGGATCATAGGGCCGCTCATCCCTCCTTCACGGCCCTCCCGATACTCGTTACCGCCTCGTAAACGAATAACTTCGGCAATATATCTAGGCATACGCTCTATCCACTCCTGAATTCTCTTCTGTGATAATTCATGCTTCCAGCAATAGGCCCATCGCTTTTCGGCCTCCTTTCGAGTCTTAGGTACACCGTTTCGAGTCGTACGTCGCTTTATCCAATTCCAGCTTCGGCCAAAGCGAGTGCCTGTAGTCTGGTTCCGTCGTCATGATTGATACTCTAAGCATTAGACATTATTCAAGATTGGAGAGTAGTGGAAAGATGTCCACTTACTGCACTGGATGTACACTGAATATATACTGAAAAGCTTCATGTTCTCCCCCTATTCTCTATTTCTCATAATGCCCTTATCAGCGCAAGTATGCACAGCATTACGCTGCTATCGCTACTGTGCACACAGTAATATCGCAACTATATACCCCGTATGCATGCAGTAATATCGCTACTATGTACTTCATATGCATACACTCCATATATATAGCATTGATGTCGCTACTATGTAAAGCATTAATATTCTAGTCTCAGCTTAGCCCCACCGGCCTTGAGGTGAGTCTGAGTAGAAAACTCTACCAAGACTTATTTTTTTGATGTATTGCCCGATATGTAATATTCACACCCTACGTATATATGATCCTTAACAAAAATGCGTAACTATGTGATATGGAAAAAAGTCGAATAAATAGTTAAATAGACTCTCGTTAAATTAGAAGCTATGGTATAGTAGTTAAGAAGTAGACTTTTAATTCTATTTTACTAAAAAACTTAGCTAACTTAGTTATAGCAGCGATACTAGTACTTAAGAATATCGTATACGTCTTAATAAATACGTAGATACTATATAGAAATTTTCTTATTAGTATATTAATCCTCGAGGTAACTACTATAATACTCGTTAAATCGACGATACGACGTATTAGAGAAAATGCCGTAGCCTCGCTAGTTAGTTTATTACTTCGATTAGACGATATAGTCTCCCTCTATTTTTTATAGTCTCCCTTTATTCTTTAAACGACTAGGCTTATAAGAGTCGTTACGGCGATAGATGTAAATAAATAAATAAGTAAGTAAGTAAGTAAGTAAGTAAGTAAGTAAGTAAGTAAGTATATATAGCGAAGAGTAGAGCGGAGAGCGAAGCGGAGATAATTTATTCTTTTAATGTGAAGTTAGATATTAATAGCGGCGATATCGATAAATAAGAATATCTCGTATAACGTCGGAGTCTCTTATAAGTATATGAAATATAGAAAAAGACGTCTTTAAATATAGAAAGGTCTACGTCGTTATTATAAACGACTTAATCGAATATCGCTTAGTTATCTCAAGTTCTCAACTCTAAAATTCTAAGAAATTATTAAGAAATATCTGGCTCTAGATTTAATTAATTGATTTTTAATTAATTATATTATATTACTCTAAAGTCTTACTCTAATAATCGACTATATAAGTTATATAATCTATTTAATTCTTTTAATTAATTATATAGTCTTAAATAAATAAGATTATATAAGTTATCGTTATAATTCTATATCTTACTATACTTAATTCTTAAAAAAAGATATACTCTATATCGCTAAGACTCTCTCGTCTTAATCGTATTCTTCTTTTTAATCGTCTACTCTAGTAAATTCTTATTATTAATTCTTATTAAGAGCTTAATATTATCTAATAAGCTTAGTATTTCTTATAAAGTTCGCTATTATAGAGGCGTAGCGTAATTTTATTAGCATATTCTTATAAGTAATAATCTTCTCTTTTATCTTTCTTCTTTCTTTAATCTATTATATTTCTCGCTTCTTATTAAATAGTCTATATTTATAAAGAATATATCGAGTTATCTACTTCGCTTTATACTTATATTCTTTATTCTCTATATCTAATACTTATTAATTATAAAGAAAGACCTTAAGATCTATTTTCTTAATTCTTATTTCTATTATTAACGACGTCTTAGCGTACTTAACTCTCGAATATAAAAGTTATATTTATTTCGACGATGTTAATTATTAGTAATATTAGGGTATATAGTTACTTATATAATAAGACTAATTACTAGATATAATATTCTTAATAATATCTAAGAAAGAAGGATATCTATATATAGAGAATACCTTCATATATCCATAACTAGATCGAATAGATACTAGTGATAGCGAGTGTTAAGTCGTTTCAATACTGGCAAAAAATAGAAAATAAGGCTATTTACATATTATATTTCTTCTTTATAACTCTTATAATCGTAATTACTCCCTCTACTATAGTAAATATAAATTTAATTATACTAGACGTATTTCTAGTAATATTATACTAAGACGGCTTTCTATTAATTAATATCAGTATCTTATCTTTCTATTTAATCTTCTAGATTTAGTTTCAGATAATTTATATCCACTAGACATTATAGTACGTTATATCCCTTATCCTTTATTATTAAATTAGCTAGATTCTTATCTTCTCTAATCCATAGAATCTTAGTAATCTCCCGTCGTTTATACGACTATCTCAGATATAGAATATCTATTATTAATCTTTTCTCTTATATTATCCCTAGCTTAACAAGATATTTATATAGAGATTTCGAGTCTATATATATAGAAAGAGGTATCTTCCCCTAGAAAGTACTAGAGAAAATTTAATTCAGAGTGGATTTTATAATAACTACAACGTCGAATTCTAGAGATAATATATAAAGTTCGAAGGCCAATACGCTTCTAATAACTTAGCGGCATTTAATCAATTGCTAATAAATAATATTAACCTTATTCTAAGCGTCAGCTAGAGCTATTACATAGTCGATTTAAGAAGAAAAATCTTTATTATTAACGAATAACGAATTCGTAAAAGTTATAATTCTTAGAGACGTTACATCTAATTTAACGAATGTAAGGTCTCTTTCTTTTATTTACCATGAAAGATAGTAATTTAGATACTAAGCGTCGTCGTAAATAAGATTCATAATCTAAGCGGCGTATAATAAGGTAAATATAGCTTATAACTGCGATACCGTTATAATATACGCTCCTCGAGCCCTCTAGGCGACGTATTACTCTTTTATAAATAACTTTAAAAGCAATTAAATCTTCTTTACCTACTTATATTAGCTAATTTTTTATATTATCCCCGAGTATAATAAAAAATTTATTAAATTCGAGAGGCTATTTCGAAGTAAGTCTCTCGAATAACTTAGCTAATAGTTTAGCGGCGTATAATTCTTATAATTTTATATCTATAAACTCGATAGTATCGACGATAAGAGAGTTATCGGTTTATAAGCCAATAATTACTATTATATCGTTATTAAATAATAGATAAGTATTAAATATAGACGAGGTTATTTCTAGCTTCTTTATATAGTATTTATAATATATCTAAAACTAGTAGATATCGGACTTAGTAATTTCATAAAGGGGGAGAATAATACGAAGTATCGTTCTCGATAATAATTCCATTTCAGCTAAGGCTAAAATAAAGACATCTCTAGTTAATTCGGATCGAGATTACGTATATGCCTAAGTAATATCGCGTAGATATAGAGATAGCTGTAGAATAGCTAATGATAGAGCGATAATAAGTCGTTAACTAGTCTATTAGATAGTGGGGGCCTAAGTAAGAATCTCATACTTCTCCGAGTTATTGAATGCTTGCACTACTAGTCGCGACTTCTCGAAGACTTTCTTAATACTCTTATTCTTGATTTAATTCATAAAACGAGTACCAAATATTCATGCTTCTATAAAGACATCTTCGATCTTTATAATCTTAAATATACCCTTTTCAAGTAATTCACTAAGTTCTTTTTATCGAGATATCTAAAAGTTTGATGAAGATAACTATGATATAGACTTAGATATATAGATTATGAT